ACTAAATTTTTTTGGCAGGTTCTGTCGAGGATTAAAATAAAACAACAATAAAACAATAACAGTGGGAAAAGTATAAAAGGCTAGCTAAGCTAGAATACTTAAATGTAGATGCTCTGCTCTTCCTAACGTCCTAACGGTACAACAGAAAAAGAGGAACTATAGGAGAGGGACGAGGTGGAGCCTATATACCTTCGGGGGGGGGGGGGAACCTAATTGACTCTTTTTTCTATAGCTCTAGAATCTTCTGGACATCCTGTGCAGGCGCAGGATTAACCCATTTGTGTGCATTCACAGAGACCACTATGAAGAACCTTTGGGAGAGAAAATGACTTTGGAACATCTGTCAAAACATGCAAAAACTGTGGAACGTACCAATTACGTTCCCTGTAGGTCTGTTACACAGTATCAAAATAATGCAATCCACAAAAACGGCTGAGTCCATCATAACAACAATAGCAACACCACATAAATCAACACAAACAATTCATCAACATATTTGAACAGATTTTCAAATAGTAAAGAGATTTTACAGGCACAGGGAATGGCAGTTTCAAGCAATGAACAACACACCCACAGTGTAGCATCAAAAGGAGACATAGAAAAAAGTAGCAATATTCCTCTTCAAAGTATTCTTATAGGAGTAAGAGTACATCACTCTTACAGGAGTAAGAGTACACCACCATTTTAAAGCAAAGAATGTATATAGCTGTCTTTGAAGTGTGTAAGAGGATTTTCCTAGGATGAAGAGCTGTTTAAGCTCAAAACTAATTGCATTTCACTGAACCCTCTTTAATAAAGAATTGTTTTCTAAAAAACACTGGAAGCATTACTTTAAAAGCTAATGCATTAGCCTTATTTTTACAATTTGCAATTTGTTACCATTACACATTAATGGCTCAGGGAAAAAATATTAAATTGCTTGTAGGTTTCACAATATGAACACATTATAGTTTCTTTGTTTTTAAACAAATTTAAAATGCAAAAATGTCCCAAACCACCTATAATAGCCCCACATCAACATTTTAAATTAAGAAGTAACTATCACTTGGTATTAAAAGAAAAATCACAATATGAATGCCACAGCTTGTCTGACAAATATTTGGCTGTGGCTTCTAAGACATTAACACTTTAAGGAATAATGACACAACCACCAAGAAGCCACCTTGGATCCCAGTTCTGGGAAAAAGTTGGAATACAACTCAAATAAGTAGAGAAATATATAAAAGAAAAAAGGATTGTTGTTGCTTGTATAACAAGGGTTGGCTCTCCTTTATCAATGTTTTGTGGCCCCAAGACTTACTGTTCTGCTGGTGCTAGAAGTGGATGCAGCCATGTGAACACAGAGAGAAGTGGGGGGGAGAAGAAGGGACAACACACACTCACTTAGCTCTCCTACCTCTGTTCTAATATGTTTTCTAGCCCTGTTTCCCATGAGGTTTTTTTTTTTGTAGCAATTGGCCCCATTTAGTCCCACATCTACCCTCTCTGGCTAAAACAAAAGACATGAATTCAAGAATATATTCAGTGGGTCATTTTCATGGTAACTTGGGAAAGAAACAGAGAGAGCGGGAAGAATTATTTAGCTCACCTTGCTTAATCTCGCTAATGTCCTTTTGGACGAAAGCCTCTGCTAAGGTGATTTGCACAGGAAAAGCCCTTTAGCTTACTGCATATTCCGTCCCTCTTCCCCCTCTTCTTTCACTGTGTTGACATTGTTGTCAGAGGCCATGAATCAAATTAAACAGGATTACTCAAAAGGCTCCAATGTACGGACTGACTCTTCAGCAAAGGGCTGTTGCATGGGCGACAGTTTCAGAGCTTGTCCCACAAAGCTGGCTGTGGTTTCTAGCTACAACATACCAGCCACTTTCTTAGCAGCCTTCCAGGAATGACAGGTGATTTCAGTGAAGCTCTTTCAAAAACAAGGGATACATTTAACAAAAACCATACACACACCGGATGCTCACTTCTTTCTCATACTCCAAGAGTATACTCCATACGCCTAGAGTAGTCTTATAGACCAGATGGGCGGGATATAAATCAAATAAATAAATAAATCTCAGAATAGGATCTTATTCAAAGGATAACAATGAAAAGGGGAAAAATACCAATAGAGTCTCTGCCCCCGCTCCAAATTTAAAGCAATCAGACCTATATAGTGACCAGCATCTTATTTAAATTTAACTCCACAGTATGAGGGTGACTATGCGGTTACTTGGTCATTTAGCCTGCTTTTTGGTCTGCTGTGGGGACAGACTGGTGCGCTTCTTTTGCTGGTTATCAGATGATGCAATGGCTAGTGCAAACCAGCCTGGGCCAAAAGTGTTCCTACCCACACATTTCCAGCTCACTGTCAGGGGCTATTCTTTATAAGGTGTGGGTAGGATTGCTCCATGTTGGTTTGATCCCAGTGTGTGTGATTGCTGGGATCAAACCAAAGTGGCTGGCTGGCAGACCTTTTGTAGAAGCTTCATCTGAGCTCTCCTTTGGAGGGCAGGGCAGGGACAATATTTTGGATTTCTTTTTAATTGTTACTAAGGTATGGTGATGTTTCGAAAGCTGTTTTTTTTAAACCACTGTCAAAGCATCACGGATTTGCTACATTGGTTTGCAACCATTAAAAACAAATTAGAAGCTTTTCTGTCTCCCTTTCCCTTCAAAGGCAAAGATTTAAAGGAAAAGCTCCCCATTTCTCAACTGAAGATTTCTCAACTGAGAAATGAGAATCCTGATTGTGCTAAACAGGGCTGTCTGAGGTGAAGTGTGCTTTCCCCGATTCAAAACCACTCGATCCTTGCATGTGGATGTAAGGATTACACCGTGCATCTCTGTCTGACCTTAACTGACTTTAAGCAACCCTATGTAGCCTGATCGTGCCCACTCTAATTTGGCCATCTAGCCAAGTTTCCTGTGAAATTGCCTGAGACATAAAGGCGATTTGCGCCTAATTGACAAAGTTTCAGTTATGTGTTTGGTTATATGCCAGTCACCCAGCACATTACAGAGTCAGCACTTTGTTAATTAGATGTGATTTTTCTGCCACGATTAACATTATTTGAGTAAAATATCTTTATTCCCACAAAGAAAAACCACCAGATACAAACTGGTAAGAGACTGACCCAGCTTCTACTTACGATCTGGGACTTCCTTGGCATCGGAGCAGGAGGCTGGATTGGCACTGATATATTGGCCCCCGAGGTGATCTGTGGTCCCGCCACCTCAGATGATGATGAAGACTCTCCTGCTAGTAAGTGAGAGAGAAAAAGAATGCAGGCAAAATTGCCTTCTAAAATAGCGAGCACTCCTCCATTTTCAGATGACATCTGACATCATCACTTTGCCCACCAAGTCACTTTTGTCACCCTCTCAAACCCAGACTGTGGTTCAGCACATACCAATGGAGAACTTCAGTAGTATTGAGAAGAACAGGACTTTTATTCTCATAAGCAAAACTGAGCAGTTATGATGGTTTCCCTACCACTACTTAGATAGTTAGCTAGTTTGTCTGACAGCCCCAAAACGATATGGTCAATTAAGTAGTCACTGCTTTAAATAATTTCCTCTCATGAAGAAATTGTGCAGTTCTTGTCATGGACATCTGCTGAATGAAGACCAACATGGCAAACTCGCTACAAAACAGGTTTTACCATGTCAGTGGGTCCAACGTTGATGTTGAAGGAAAATAAAGTTAGCACAACTTGGCAGAGTTATTTGTGGACCAATGGCTGGCAGATTGAGGAACTTATAGCCCAAATAAGTCACTTTTCCAAGTTTTGAAAATTACAGTTACGATTTTTTAGAAAGGGTTACCAGAAGCTTGCTGTAGGGATCCAGGCCCCTTGCTCTTGTTGACTAAGGTGGACGACTTGTCAGTCCTGTTCAGGAAAGAAGCAGAAATTAGTAACCATCAATTATGGTACTTCTGTAATTTGCAACATTTGGTGTCTTTTTTGCTGGCATAGTTAGAACCCAGAAAACAATTATGTGTGGTGCTTTCAACCTGAGCTGAAGCATGTTCAGCAAGAGGTTGCATTTCTTCTTGAAACCAATGCAACTCATCATCACCAGAGGAAAGAGGTGTCTGCATGTACACATACATACCTAAGTGTACGTATATATACATAAGCAGACACAACATCCTGTGAGACAAAATGATGTTGGTGGCCCCTCTCAATGCAATGCTGTCCAATTTCTGCTGGATGAGCTTTAGAGGTTAGTTACGAAGACTCTTGAAAAACACGGACATCTCGTGTCCACTTCCAGAGCCTTTAGTCATGTTCCACTGCATCCACATTATACACCAGGCTATTCTCTGGATTATATACTACCTTGCTTTGTGGGGTTCTTGACTGGCCACAAAAAGAGTAATCTTTTTTTCCTTCCACCTCAACCCACTCCCACATTTTCATTTTAAAAGTACAACTCTTTACAAACTTTTGGTAAAAGAGGATTTTCCAAAAGGCTGGACCAAATCATCAGTCATTTCAGTCAAAAAATGACTGATGAGCCATTAGAGCACAACAGGACCAGAGGAAACAAAGCATCAAGTAGCAGATGCTGCAAACAAAGAACAAGAGTGAGTGGTTAGCAAGGTGAAGACACCTTAATTGTGGAACATTTTCCCTAGAGATGCTCACTTAACTCCACCTTTCTGGCTTTCTGGATGCTAAGCAAAGAGTCATTCATTCATTCAGCCCCTTCTCAGCAACCACAACTTCATGGAATAAGATCGAGTTTTTCATTGTGCATGGTATATGCTATTGTTTTGTCAGCTAAGTTTTCTAACATACTTTTAAAAATTATTTTAACATTTACTACATTCTGGCATTTTATTATTGTTACTTCTTGTTTCTATAAGAGATCCAGGAATTGGGCTGGTGGACAGCTTTATAATAAAAACAGCCAACAGCAGATAATCTACTACTGTATGTACCTCTTACACTCTTACACCTCCAGATTCCCATAGCATACAATAGTTATGTATTCATTGTGGAGAGGTGCCAATTTAATTGTACAAGCACATGTTCTCTGTTCTCTGGAGAAGGGCCTGAGCAGCTGTTCCAGATGTGGCTTGTTTTGTTCTAACATTTTGGCTAATGAGCAATAGCAAAGAATGCCAGATCTGAACAACAGGAATTCAGACACAGTCAAATAAGGTTTTGTTAAGTGTCATTAAGCATGATAGGAAATTTAGACTCATTTTCCCTCACATAGTAATGTGATTGCACCTGATACCCCTATGAAGCCTTATTTCTATTCAAGCCTCCAGCTGGGGAAAACTGATCTAAACAGCACACAAGACAAAACTATTCCAAGAAGCCCTTCTTACACTTAATAGAAAACAAGAGTCCACTGAAATACGGACCCCACATTCAGCTCACAATTTAAACACAAGGTTTTTCGCCAGGCTTGCCCAGCTTTATGAATTAAGTGTCACTTAATTACCCTGGAGCAGGCTTCTTCTGAGAAATTCGACTCGGAGGCTGGGGAGGAAGTGGTGGTGGAGTAGGTTTGGACTGCGGCACAGCTGACGTTTTTGACTGCTGGTTCAAAGCTTCAAGAACACTGGCTGTCTTTGAAACTGGAGGTGGTGCCGAGGAGAGCATATCTACAAAAATTTACCCAGAGAATATATATTTACGTATATTGATGATGAAAACTGATGAAATGAATCCTCCAAATAATATTACGACACTGTGTATGTTTGCTTCCAAAAAGGAAAAAGGAAAGTGGAACAATTCCTGAAACATACTTAATCCTTCTTTTATTGTAAAACCTAAGGCCCAAGATATCGTATAGCGTGACTAACGCTGCAACCTTTTCTGGGATTCAGCCTCAGCAAATTCAGTATGAACATTTTGGCACATACTGTATTATATATACAGAAATATACTGTGGGATCCTGTTCATTCACGGCATTAGCATGTTCCATATACCAGGAAGCAGCATTGGCCTCATGATCCCCAACCCTCCAGCAACAGGAAAAAAATGTAATATTGTCATTTGAAAAAGACATGTCTAGGGCGGGCTGGATAGCTCAGAGGTTTAGGTCTCTGGCTGTGAAGCCAGTGGTTGGGAGTTCTATTCCCCACTGTGCCTTCTATGAGAACAGCCAGCCTGGGTGGGCCTTGGGGGCAAGCTGCACAGTCCCAGGATGACCCCAGAAGAAAGGAGAAGCAAACCACTTCTGACTACTTGCTGCTTAGAAAACCCTGAAAAGGACTTGTTAATATTATTATTATGCATGTCTAGACCCCACTCACAGACTCCATTTGCTACAATAAAATGGAATGGCCTAATTGGGCACAGACTAGTTTGTGTATGTTTGTGTGCATGCCCAAGACTCAGTTCCGCATGCCAGAGCTATATGTGAACTGCACCCTTGTTTCAAAGCAACAGGAAATCAATCTTCCGGGAGCCTCAGCCTCTAAACTATTCATTGTCAGGCAATTCTTCCCCCATCCTACCCCCCACCCCACATACTCTTTCCTCTTGCTGCAGATTTGGAATGACTGTAAATATACTGAAATGTATCCTTTTAACAAAAAATGCCTAAACCTACATTTGAAGTCCTTAGGTTTCAGTATTCTTTATCATATTTATATCTTCTCCATCATTCACAAGAAACTCTATATGGAGTTCCATGGAAATCTTCTCTCCGGGTGCTAATCAAACCTAGACTGGCTTGGCTTACGCGAGGCTATGCTGCCATTTGCCTTCAGACTGCAAACCTAAAATAACTGCTCAACATTAAAGCACAAAAGAAATGATCCTGGATAGGCCATGTGCCCCAACAACTGTATCATTCTAATCTTGATTTAGAACAGCAGCATGGCTGTTCTCCTCCTACCTCAAACCAACGGAAGAGAATATTCACAGGTTTTCAAATGTTTGTAAATGTTTTCGTAAACAGTCCATACATTTATTCACATCATTTTCAAAGAAGTAATTTAGCAGTAGGCTGTCTGAGAAATCATATTTACAGTTAGTCTTCTTCTGGTGACAGGGACAATGATATAGAAGCTGGATACATTCCCAGAACAGATTCTGGAATCCAGCTTTTGAACACCTACCTTCAGACCTCCCTTACTAATAATCAATTTCAAATCTCACCTCAGATCTCAACAGTCATATGGACTGCTTCAGAGAGTTTTCTGCATAAGCCTATAGGTGTTACTATTGCAAAATAAATTGAAGCAAAATACAAAATGATTTTGCCATTAAAAAAAAATCAGTGGGTTAACTCAAACACCGGTCCCCAAAACATGTATTATTTTAGACATCCTGGTGTAGCACGGCTGTGGAGAAGGAGACTGCCCCAAATAGGATGTTTAACACCCACTACTGATATCATGGCTATTACTGAAAGTGATCTGTTTAATGCCAAAACTAAAACAATGGCCTTATCTTAATGGACTGATAAACAATGGCTCATTATTATAAGAACAAGTCTAGGCAAACCTTTGCCTTATAAGTCCTTTCTTCTCTCCAATTGTGAGATCACAACTTTCTCTTCTATTTTTTTTTTAATCAAGTGCAATATAAACTGAGCAAGTGTGCTTAGTCTTAACTCTGCTTCAGTGAAAATAAACTAACTTTAAACTTTGGTTTGCAAAATTGGCTTATTTCATGGAACCGTAGTTAATATTGCCTTGCTTTGTCCAGTTTCCAATATAGTGTCAAATCTCACAATTTTTTTTTGTAGCTGTACCAAAAGGAGCAAGAGGATTGTCTGAGCCCAAGAATCATTCCTGTGATGACAAACCACATTTCACTTTTATATTAAAAAACCCATCACTATTGTTTTAACCTCTACACTAAACACAACAAGGAGTTTTGTGGCTCATTTAGCTTATGCCACAGTGGCTGAAATCATGTTGCTGAGTGTAGTAAGTCACAACTAGTGTAAGTCCATTGAATCAGAGAAGTTGACTTACCAAATCCCTGCTGATTCAATGGGCCTACTACAGTTGCAACTTACTGTGCTAAGCAATAGGTATTAGGCACTAACTATATAAGTTTTTAAGAAGCTAGAAGTCCATGTTACTTCACAGGCCCCCAGTGGATATTCACACTTGGAAAGCTGAATAAGCAGAAAATGGCTTCCTACAGAATCAGCGTTAACTCCATGTCTAATGGGCAAACTGATCTTCTTGAGGGGTGGTTTTACACCATCTAGTAATTTTATTGTCACACTTTAAGTTGTGTTTTTTCATAAAAAACAACAAATATGCAACTATACAATGAGTTCCATAATCATTAACAGTATATACTAGAATTGTCAGGGATTATTAAAAATAGAATTTATGCTATTAAAAATCCTTCTGACGTTGAGGGGAGAGGATGAGTTCCTTGCTAAACTAGCCCAGAGGTATCTATTCTCCAGCACTGTGCTGAAAGAAATGATTTATATTCAAGTAACAAGATGGCAAAGCAGCAGGTTTAAAACTACATCCACCAGAGGAAAAAAAAGAAGCATGAATTGCAGAATGGAGAGTTGAGGCCAACCATGAAAAGATGTAAGGAAAAAAAAGAAAGAATTTTTTTAAAAAAATGAAAGAAAAAAAGGAAGCAGCGGAAAAGTGCAAACATACTTGTAGATGTTACACGCAATGGTGGAACGGGGGGATGGACAGTTGGTGGATCGGATGAAGACCTCTGCCTGCTTATGCTTTCCATTCCTACAGAATTTGTCTTCCACAGTGTGTTCGAAGAAGAAGTTGTCTGAACAGCACTGCCAAGAAATGAAGACTGAACTAAAAAAAAGGGGGGAAAGGGGGGAAAAAACAGGAAAATACTGCATTATTATTATAATTTCTGCTGGCTTTTGAATGAGGACGAAACAGCACTTTTCCTTAAGTGGACTGTTTCAATCCAGAGTCATGTATACTTCAGCATTTGCACAAGGACTGGACCATGCTATTCCCACATGGATATCACTGCTTCATGACCGAGATATTTAAGGGATAAGCACGGGTGGGTGAGCTGAAATAGATCAAATACAAGACACAAAGCTTTCAAAATAATCCGAAACCACATAACCCCCAACACACTTTTGATACTGCCTTGAAGCAAAGTTGTTCTGTGGAAAACCACTGTCCAGTGAGGAATAATCTAGGGCTTCCACTGTCTTTTTGTTTGTTTTTAACCTTAGAACATTTTTTCTTTTGTTATTGCCATACAATTTTAAACGTAATCATTTATGATCAAAATGATATTACAATCCCATGCTGTTTGATATACCGGCTAAGGGATTGGCATAGGGAATACAGCAGCTTTTTCTTACTTAACTCATTTGGCTGATAACTTTTCTATCTCTTGATATAGTGGGAACCAGTTCACACCTGTATAATCCTTCTGTTGGCCCATTTCCTTTACCTGCTGTAAGCAAGTATGGTTTGAAGTTTGCTATGTAGCAGGAGAAGAACAAGGGCAGATAGCAGGACGGGGAAGAAAAAGATCACATTAAAGTAGACCCATTACAGGGAACAGGGCATGTTAGTCACTACTCAGGTGAGTCCCACTGATTTCAATGGGACAAACACTGGGACCAGATGTTTACAGCCCTTCCCCATGGGAGACTTTAAAATCTTTCTACATTGAAGATTAAGCAACTGAGGGGGAAGTAAGAATGAAACAGGCACCAGTCCATGAGTTTGAATTTTTTCTTCATAACTAAAAAGGACTCTGCCGATGAACAGAAATACAATTTTTAAAAGCCATTAATACTAGCAAGAAATCCAGTAAAGCTTGTTAGTTAATGAAAAGGCAAGAACTGCAGCCAAATTCACAGAGAGGAATTGTTTCGTTAGAGGAACCCAAGCTACATGGGTCAACAAGGAAGAGAATAACAATGATCAGTGTCTTCACATCAGGAGGTCTGCTCCTCCAAAGACTTCAGCTTTTTAACTACTTGTACCCACAAAGGTATATATATTTCTGTCTCTACAGCTGTAAGAACATAATGTACAAGCACGCTTTTTACAAACCTGCATGTTTGCCATGTCAGGCCTTGACCAACAGTTGGTCAGTGCTACTTAGTGCTACTGAGCGACAGTGCTAACAAAATAAGAGCTTCAGAAATTAATGAAGGCGTGCATCTCTCGTTTGAAACTCAAATTTAAACCACAGCTTCCATCTGTAACAGGGAATTCTGTTGAAAGTGTGGCACTTGACAGGCAGAAAAATATCATGCCCAGACCAATTTACACCAGCAAAATAGCTGCCATAGCCAACACTTCACAGAGGGAAATCCTTTGGCTCTTCACATGTTTTGGAGTACTATATTATAGTACTATGGAGTACTACGTATACCCTTTACTCACACTGATATGGCAGCTGTAGGCCAAAATGTCTACAAGAACAACATTTCCTCCACTTCTACACATGCTCACCCTGAGAGAGGAAAAATACACAAGCAGAAAATACAAAAACACCATACGAGACATTCCCTTTACTGTTCCACATGCTTATAGCATGACTGAACAGGGCCACATACACATGTAACTCCCCAGACAAGGGGCGCACAAAGCCGTCTGATAGGGTTCAAGACCTTCAAGGGAAAAGAAATTCAGTAGCCAAGGCAGGGCAGGAGAACTCACAACAAGTAGGGCCAGGTACAGAAAGAGAGAGAGAGAGAGAGAAAGCAGCACCTTCGTTCTACTGGGCCACTCCAGGTCAAGCTCCATGGCAAGAAGCTCTCTGCTGCCTCAAGTGCTACTCTGGAATCCCTCAAAATGCCCTCTTTCTCAGCGAGCAGGGGATGGGAGAAGATTATGACAGAGAGATACCTACGTATGATGCAGCCATTCATAGCACCAGGCCCTCAGAAGAACAGCAAAAGGGTGATAAGCAGGTGCATCCACAGCACCTCCTGTAGACCTGAAATCCTTGGGAAGAGGCTGACCAGGCTGACACTTCGTGGAGGTGGATGCTTTGTGGAGACATGTCTAGCTTGGCTTTTGTTTTCTATAGACAGCTGTGTGTGTGAGAGTCCCAGCAAAAAGGACTACATGCTTCAGGGCTTCTACACAGTGTTGCAGAGAGAGGTCAAGCCAAAGGCTGTCATACAGAGATAAAAGGGGAGAGATGGTGGCCTCCTTTCCTCTGAGCCCTTCCCTTCTAGCACTTGGGCATTTGCTTGACCATGCCACATGTCAATACCAACCTGACTCCACTTTTAAGGGCACAGAATCAGAAAGCAGGAGACATGTATTCAATCCTTGCTCTCAGTGTGAAGGGAACAGTGTGTCCCAATCCTCCTCTGGCATGTCCAGAAATAAATGTCTGGATCAAAAGAAAGGGACCTCCCTGGATTGCAGCCAACTCTGCAAATATCAGAGGCCAGCCCAGCAGAGCTTATGTTCCCTGTCCACTCTCAGTAATGGACAACGTAAAGAAGAGAAGCTGGTGCGACAGCTATTGCTTCCTACACTGAAGGTTCCTCTAGTTCAGATCCAGGACCCACAATAAAAAAACAGGTTACTTACCTGTAACCATAGTTCTTCGAGTGGTCCTCTGTGAATTCACACATATGGGTATTGTCTGTGCCTGCGCTGACTTTCTTGGAAGATTCTAGAGCTAAAAGTAACAATTTTATGGTGTGATCCTCCATGAGGTATATGCTCCTCCCACCCACCATCTTCCCCAGTTCCTGAATTTTATCCACTGGGTATGAAGGAAAGAACTACGTAAGTGATTACATAGTTAACCCATGATGGATAGAAGGGAAGGATGGGCGAGTTGTGTGAATTCACAGAGGACCACTCAAAGAACTATGGTTACAGGTAAGTAACCTGTTTTTCTTCTTCGTGGCCTCTGTGAATGCACACATATGGGTGACTAACAAGCTGCACTTACCAGTTGGTGGGTCATCACAGTAAGAAGGATGACAGGACAGCTCTGCCAAATGCAGCATCACGGCGTGCTCTGACGTCCAGCTGGTAGTGTTTCACAAACGTGGACAGTGTGGACCAGGTAGCAGCACGGCAGATGTCAGGAACCTCTGTGCCACGTTGAAAGGCAGTGGAGGTGGATAGAGTTCTAGTTGAGTGAGCTATCAAATGTTCTGGTGGAGATTTCCCAGACAGTTGGTAGGCCAATGAAATAGTTTGCACTATCCAGCGTGCTATGGATTGTGAGGAAGCTGGAGCTCCTTTGTTTGGGCCATGAAAGCATATAAAGAGTTTATTGGTTTTCCTGAAGGCTTTAGTCCTCTCTATATAAAAGGCTAATGCACGCCTGACATCCAGGTTATGGAGCATATGTTCCGGTGGCAAAGATGGAGATTTAAAGAAAGATGGTAAAATTATGCATTGGTTCAGGGGGAAGTTGGGGACAACCTTTGGGAGAAATGAAACATCAAAGAGTCACTTTATCGGGGTGAAACTGGATAAAGGGGGGATCAGCTGGAAGAGCTGCAAGCTCGCTGGCCATTTTGGCCGAGGTAATAGCGACTAGGAAAGCTGATTTGAGCATGAGTAGCTTTAGGTCGAAAGACGCCATGGGCGTCGGGGTTTGAAGCGGCATCATGGAGGGGGCCGCGTTCCCATGGGGTTCTTCCCCTTCTGAGGCAAAATCGTGGGCTTCTCTAGAAGACTCCTCGAGAACAGGGGAAGGTAGAGAAGGCTGAGGTGGCTCAATATGTAGAGACTTATCCCTCCTAGGTTTTTTAGTAACGGGTTTCGGCTTCTTCTTTGAGCTTAGATCATGGGCTTGAGCCTTATCAGAGGAGAATAACTTGTGCTTACCAGATGGTTTTGCTTTTTCAACCGTGTCCTTAGCTGGTAGCATGGACGTGGTGGAATCAGATGTATTTTGGCCAGCCAGGAGTCTATCCGTGGAGTGGGTAGGGGATCTTACCGCCTCCGAAGATGGTGCAGGAGGATTCATGGCTGTTTGCCAGAGGTAAGACCGAAATCTTTGCAATCTCTGCTTCAGTGCCAGCCTGGTTAGATTCTTGCAGGCAAGGCACGAGTGGGTCGGGTGTTACTCACCCAAACAAAAAAGACACTGGCTGTGGCCGTCGGAGAGTGCGATTTTGTGTGCACAGGTAGTACGACATTTAAACGGTGCTGGAGAGGCCATAAGAGGGGGATGGGAGGGGGGAAGGGGAAGGGAGGAAAGGAAGGGGAATAAAACAGTGGGGAGCCAATTAGGCAAACAAAAGACGCGGAGGATCACTAAGTAGGCAATAAACAAAAACGAAAGTTCGAAAGAGCCTGAAAAAAGCAGCCGAAAGGCAATAGAAAAGCGCTCTATCTTTCCGGAGAACCGTTCAGCTCAGCGGAAAAAAGGAACTGGGGAAGATGGTGAGTGGGAGGAGCATACACCTCGTGGAGGATCACACCATAAAATTGTTACTTTTAGCTCTAGAATCTTCCAAAAGAGTCAACGCAGGCGCAGACAATACCCATATGTGTGCATTCACAGAGGCCATGAAGAAAAAGCAGGGATTCCCATTCCATCCAGGCACAACTCAGCCTATCAGGAAGACTACTGGATGATCCTAATGGCCTAACATCAGCTAACCATTCCTCTTCCTGACTACAGTATTTTGCCAGGCCAGCAGGGAGTTGGACTCCACGGCCTTATAGCTCCCTTGCAACTCCATTAATTTTACAATTCTATGATAATGACATGCCAATCAGTTTAGCTCAGCCTTGCTCCTCACAGCCAGAAGATAATGACATGCCAATCAGTTTAGCTCAGGCACACCAGTTGAGCAAGGCCTTGCTCCTCATAGCCAGAGTCATCTCACTTCCATCCTTGGGAATGTGGCAAACGTATGGATTGCTGATGAAATTCAGACCTGGTCTTTAACTGCCCATTCAGGCTGTTCACTATGTCCTACTTTCCCCAAGAATGAACAGATTTCTCCCCCCAGTGTCTACAATGAAGCTCCCACTTGAGAAAGGGCAATCCAATATTATTTTCCCTCCTCCACCAATTTGACCAATTCCTGAGGTTCCTATGGTAGTCCCTCCTGCCTCGTCTCAGACCTCTGATCTCAAAGGAGTGCAAAGGCAGCTATGATGGGAAGATGACAGCAAGAGGCGAAGGACGAGGTCTGGATCTGCTTGATCCACAGCAGTCAGTCTCTGACTATGCTCCTCTCCCCACAATACACAAGAAAGGTAAGCATGCCTCTGAGGGTTATGTAGCCTAATTCTCTTGCAATGACAGTATTTGTTTTTGGACAATAGTAAGCCAAGCCGCATGAAAAGGGGTGAGCAAAGGGCTGAAAAACGAGAGAATGCCAACGTTTGCACCCAGCCTAGCAAGAGCTCTGGACTCATTCGAAGGTGCAACGTCTGAGTGGGCTCTTTTCTGCTCCCCTTCCCTGTAAGGGATGCAGAGTTAATGTATTTAACAAACAAGAACATTTTGGCCAGAGTCCCACAGATACTTTAAACATGGGATAGATGCGATGATGTAAACCACAGCAGCAAAGTGTCGGTAGTTAATAAGTTACTGCTTGTACTCCTCATCTTATGCCAAGTCAAGCAACAGAGAACAGAAGTGGTAGCTTACTAATTAGTGGCAAACTGCCATTGTAATTTATGTCACTGTGCTTCTGGTGGCATAAATAACTAACACAGCTTTAGCATTTCATTTGTTCAACACTGGAAATGGTATTTACCACGTTATTTATTATCACATAACAATGAAATAAAACATAATCAAATTCAATTATTCATTGTTCAGATGTTAAACTTGGATTCTTCTAAAAACTATTCTCCAATTTTACATTCTATAGCTATCCCACACAGCTTTTAACTCCAACTCAGATTATGATTTCTCCTGTTTTCTCTTCTACCACATTTTGAAACTGAAAGTACACAGAAAAATCCTAATACCTATCCAGAAGCATTAACCACAACATTTTCAAAGTGAAATTACACTTTGCAATTCTATTATCTTATAAAGTGTGATGGCACCAGTACCTTTTCCAATATTCCTGGGAGGCAAAGGGGGTGCACTTGTAACAGGTGCTGCAGACTGAGTCGGAGGCGGGCTGCTACTGAGTATGGCTCCATAGGTCTCGTTCTGTAATAAGCTTGGCATAAAGCCTCGCTGTTTGTCCTTGGCTATACTGGCGGCATCTCTTGCCAACGATGCCACGTTAGGCTGAAGTTGGCTTGATCCTAGCTGATAGAAACTTACAGGTCTGTCTTCTCTTCGATTGGGGCTTGGTTGCTATAAACAAACAAACAAACAAACAGGATAAAGACAATGGCCACATCTGCAAGCATTTCAAGTCTTGATAGAGGTCTAATGCACCTATTTTCCGTAACTAAAGCTATACTTTCTAAACATACATACTTTTTAGGAGTTAGACGCACTGAACAAAGTGGGACTTGCTTCTGAATATTCATACAGGTGTACCAATATGTGTGTGTATGTGTGTGTGTGTACACACACACACACACACACACACACACACACACACACACACACACACACACACACCTGTATGAATAACAGTAACAATATATATATGCAGCAGTGTGATTAAATTAGCCTTCATTTCTAGTAAGAATACTGTTTTCTAGAATTTCTAGCAATGGAAGAGTCCTATTTTATACTTTCTCTGGACATACATTTAAAACTATTAGTCCAGTGTCAAAACAACATATTTTCACATATGTTGTTAGAGTACAAGTTTCATAATCTTCGATAACAGGCCCTGGGTGGCCGGGCAGTTAAGAGCAATGGGATTCCAACAATATTTGGAGGGCAACATGTTCCCCACCTCTTCTTTAATTAAAGAACTTGCCATATTTTGACCTCAGTACAGTCACTTGCACAAGAACTTTCATTAACTTTTAACTGGTTTTATTGAAGCTGCATTCTAAACAGGCATGTTTTCAAACTTTTTTCAGAACATGAAAGTGGAATTTCGTGGCTTCCTAAAATCAATCAGTTGCAGATAAAAAAAAGCTAGAGAAGCTAATCTCAATTTTGTACCATTTTTCTTAAGAAATTAACTCCAACATGATCCAAGGTAAACACGCATGCAATGGCATCATTCAATGACGCTTTCAGCATAATAAAGTCATTAGTCATGCCATTAATAGCCTTAAATCTTCTTTTCACGGCTCCATAGTCTGAAAGCCTATTAATAGTTTAGAGTGAGGAGTAAAATTGCGTTTAATCTTCAGCTACACTACTAAATTGGACAGCTACAGAGTTGGGGCCAAATAAAACAGCAACTGCCAGACAGAATGGAGAAACCCACACACTGCTACTTCCTGTTTCAACAGGAATCTTGCTCCTGATCAAGAACACTATGGCAAATATAGACTGTAGATAAAATGTTAAGACGACGGCCCAAATCCTGTTGGTTAACATAATAAATAACACTAGAACAGGCCCAGTGACTCAATGAGGATCAAGTGAGCGAACTCCTCCATAAGTTCCTTGGATGCAAATGGGCCTATTTTAACTGTGACTTACTTTAGCATATTAAGTCACAATTGGAGTAGGTCTACTTGGATCAATGCAACCTATGAAAGCACTTACTCACTAAATTTCCACTGATTCAACAGGTTTACTCTAGTGTGACTAACGTAGATATGGGAGCTTTGTATTTGTATTCAGGGCCATACAAATACGAAGCTCAGCATCACAGTTGCCAAGGTGGTCCATTTGCACCCGCCAGAACCAGCCCAGTCCACTCACTAGCCTCCATGGAGCGCATGCATCTGACAGTGGCGACATAACATCAAGTGCAGATGTAGTCCCCTCTGGTGTTGCCCCGCCTCTCCCCTCAGCAGCTCAGCAGGGAGACTCCTCTTCCCACCTCCTCACCGGAGTGGTCGTCTAAGGGGAAAGGCAGGGCAGTGCTGGCAGGACTACGTCTATGATTGGTGCAAGGTCGCCAACGTCAGATGCATGTGCTGCATGGAGCCAGGTGAATGGACTGGGCTGGTTCGGGGGGGGGGCAGAAATAGACTGCCATGGCACCTGTGGTGCTGAGCTTTGTATTCGTATCCCCCATGTCTAATACTAAGTGACAGGATTTTTGCTAGTGTCACAGATCTTATAAATCACATCATAAATAAACCATTCTGCCTTCATCATGAACACATTCATGAGTGAGTTTCATTTACATATAGAACCATGGTATACTAATGTCAAGCTGACACATGGATCTAAGAACTGGATAACATAACCACTAATATCCTCAGCAACACTTTACAAAGAACACGCTGATAATCAAATATACCCTTTTGAAGACAGTGTTTCCTGTTTTGTAATGGTAGATTTCTAACATTATAAACACATACAGTTAAGGTGTCTGTTATTAGCAGTATAGAATTTCTTCTCTACTATCTGTGAGGGCACATGTGAGTGCTCCTTATCCAATGGATTAAAGACAAACTGCCACTCCCTGTTCTGGCTTGAACAGATCTGAAACTTGGACAGTTGCTGATCAGACTTTGTCTTCAACTGATCACACTCTTGGCTCTTTCCCCAAGTTCCAAGGAAAGGCAAATCCCATGTCATCCTCAAAGATGGAGACACGGTGAAGGGCTTCATCTAGGCCAGTGGTTCTGAACCTTGGGCCTCCAGATGTTCTTGGAATACAACTCCCAGAAGCCTTCACCACCACCTCTGCTGGCCAGGATTTCTGGGATTTGGAAGTCCAAGAATAACTGGAGGCCCAAGGTTGGGGACCACTGATCTAGGCAACAGCCTCTCCCTTGTTCACCAAGCAACAACATCGGTGTGGCATTGCCAGCAGCCAACACAGATCCTTTTCAATGTGAGTGATGTAAAGGATGAAGGTCCGGGTTCTGCAATGACTGCTCTTACCACATGACTGCCAGGCTATATAACTGGCAGTCACCTATTCACCACTCAGGTTGAAGAGTAGCTGCATTGGCTGCTAAGTAGCTAGCTTGCTCTGCTTGATCTCAGACAAAAACACTGTGCAGCGTTGGGGTATCAAGACTCTTCCTCACCACTCTTCTAGGGACAAGCAAGGATGCATCCGTTTCTCTTCCTGCTGTGTTGTACGTCCAATCACCAATTTACTGCAATGTCCTTGCAAGAGTAAACTCACATTGCCCCATAAATACCTATAAACACTCACTTTCACATACAAAAGGCATGGTATTCAGAAAATACATAGTCACTAAAAGACAGATATGGAACATTAGGGACACATATGCCTATCACTCTCTCATATACAATAAGTGGACATGAGAGAAGCAGCAAAAGAGATGCTCCAGCACAAAAAAGGAAATACCATTTATTTTTCTTTATTTCTCCCTGTTCCTTTGCACAATGTCTCGGTTTAAGATAGCTTTTATCCCAAAAAGTTAAAAACCATTTAAAACAGTATTCCATAAAGTATTTAAAGCCACAAACTCTTTAAATGTGTACCTGCAACTTTTCATCTACATCGTCATCACTCTCATCCAAGTCTTCGTGAAGTAATCGCCATTCATATTCTACATGAACATGAGAATTAAGTCTTCCCGCCAAGGCTTGGGTGAGCTAAGAAGCAAATTAAGCATCATGAAGCGCAACTGTCAAGAGTTTAAATTCACTTTCTTCAATCAGAAGGTGTTAAAGTAGTCTACTTGCCCCCCAAAACTACATTTTTTTATTTCAACCTCTAGATCAGGGAGTCATAAAAGGCCTTTAAGGCTCATTAGTTCATCAAAAGGATTGTCAACACAATGGAAGATAACTCTTATAGAGATAACTATTCTCTCTGTGTGTATGTGAGTAAATCAACTCTTTATGATTTGTAGTTAGGTGGGCATAAGATTTATACATAGATTTTGAACTAAGCACGGGTCTAGCATCCCTAACTCCATCATTATTGAAGGGAGAATTGTATTTCATTAACGTGGTTAATAAAGGTGGTTTATGAAACAAGCTTTGACTTTCGCCCTTACATCTGAACTCATGGGTACTTTCAGTATCCTTTCATGAAAGATTCGGGGACACGTACAGCTCTCTTAGGAAAATGAGCTAAACATTCACAGAAGGACTGCATATTATAGCCCTTCACGGAATGCTACCAAAGATAATACACACTTTAAAGATATTCCCTGCCTGTGGAAAATACACAGAAATAACTCCTGCCCATGGACAACTGGAAGAAGTGTTCTAGGAACACACAATCATACCAGGCCTATCTGTATTCTAACTTTCCCATAAATGCCACTTTATTCTTTTGAACATGAAACTTTGCTCACAGATAAGCAAAAGAAGGCCAGCTATGAGGGTCCTGCAGCTTAGAAAATATTCTAGACCCATTCTCTCAAGAAATCACAGTCATGTTCTGGTGGCATCATTCTAAATTTAAAAAAGCAGAAAATCCAAGGACTGGCCTATAGAAAAGTTTAAGACAGGACTCCCACCCTACTTATGGAGTCAGTCCATCATCACTGTCACCGTTGTCATCATAACATCCTTTTTTTCCAGGTATAAGGATGGATAGGAAGCAAAGGCTGTATCTCTGAGCTCACAGTCACTCTTGCTGCTTCAAGCAGGGAACAGAGTGCTGCTTCTAGTCCTTGCTGCTGCTGCCTTGGAGAGGGAAGAAGCTTCTCTCCACTATATGTGGGGGTCCCTCCATACCCTTCCCTGCACTGTTGCCAGAGATAAAAGAAATCAGTGGTAAGTTCATGTCGTTCTGCCAACTCCTGTGACGTTGCTGGAACCAGCTGTATTGGCTCTTGCCTTTCCACTGGACCATTTCAGCAACGTGGAGAGGGGGGATCTGCTGCTTGGGTAACAGCCTATCCTCCATATTACTCTACCCAGGCTTCATGCTCTGGAGAGGACACTTGGCAATTCAGAGCATGTGACCATAGTCTCTCGAGACTGAAGGATGGCTATGGTAAGTTGTAGTGACGTGTTTCGAGTAAGAGGCTGCTCTTTGTTTGTCTTTACGTGTTTCGAGTAAGAGGCTGCTCTTTGTCTTTAAAAAAAAGACCTAATTCTGAAGGGTCTTCCTGGAGCCAAAGCAGCTAGGAGAATGCTCAGAGAAAATCATGGCACAAGTAATGTTGACAATTAATTAAACAAGCAAGCAAGCAAGCAGGTTCTAATTCAAGTACATTGTTTGCCTCACTACCTATCTCTTCCTTCTTTGGCAACAGCACACAGGGAAGGTGTGAGGACACCACTACCTCCAACACAGGAGGGTTCAGATGCCTCCCTCTTCAAGGCTGAGCTGCTCAGAGGTCCTGGAGAGCTGCCTTAAAGAGTTTCTCTCCAAGGCAGAGGAAACACTCACAGGGTGGTAACCACAACACAAGGGAATGGGGCATTTGCTGTCCTAGTGCTCTACTCTCTAATGCAACCGCCTCGCTATAGTTAATGGCAGGGTCAGCTCAGGACATACGGAATCTTTAACTGAGTTGAGGCTCACTCCTTAAGATTCGCTGAACAACACACATTTCTACAATCTTGAAGCTTCCAATTAAAAATTAATAAATAATGAGTTGGATCCAAAAGAGGCTTCTTTAATCATGACTAAGTTCAGAACCAACCCAACACTGAGAGCAGCAAAAGAAACCAAATGTGTTACATCTTGATTTGGTGTCTTTTTTCGGTTAAGGAAAGAAATGGGATTTACACATGTGTGCTCCACTTCAGTTGAGACAAGGCAACTGTATGGTATCTTCACATATCCGTATCAGAATACAAAGTATAAACAAAGTAGTTCCCTAAGGAGGTTAAATGAATAAATATTTATTACACGTTTCCCACAATTCAGAACAGAATACCACAGATGCCTCACTGTAAGCTATTAAATAACCAGATTTCTACACTAAAGAAAACACCAGGGGAAGATTTATCTTACCAACTCTTCACAGCGTGTATGTTTTAAGCGTTTAGCTATATCCAGTGGTGTCTCTCCAGCTTCATTGGCTAGAAAGCAATGGAAGGAATATGTTTTATTCTTGTTTGAAACTTTAAGCAGTGTTACTAAGAATGGTGTTCACATATGAAGAGGGTTTTACACTGGCTTTTGCATCTGAAGAAAACATGGGAACACTGAGCATTATTAGATAAAGATGTGCATTTAAGGAACTCACTTGATCTCAATAAGAGAAAAGTAAGCATGTGCTTAATACATCAAAGAGATTTAAACATGATAAATTCTGCCCATCTGTCCATACTATCAAATGGAGTGCCTCAGCTCAGCTGTGTACTCAGATTAAGTACAGTACTCAGTAATATGAGCCAGTTGTTCCATTTATCACTGGGATAATTTAACGTTCACTACATAAGGATGCCTCACAGGCATAAGCAAAAAGCCATCATGCAGTTCAACAAGGTTTGGAATACTGCATTAAAAAGGCACGCATTCTATATCATCCCAGCAATCTTCACTTAATGCACTGTCTTCTACAAAGATCTATATTAAACACAAAATAAATGACAGAAGTTATTACATCCTTTTATGTTGGCATCACAAACGTTGGACAAAAAAGAGAAAGAGGGTAGTCTTCACCCTTTTACCTATTTCGATGGAAGCTTTTCCTCTAAGGAGCAGTTTGAGGCACTCGACATTATCTGTTAAGCAGCAGTAATGCAAAGCTGTGCTACCTTTACATGTCTGCTTGTCCAGGTTGCCACTATTATGCAAGGAGAAAGGAAAGTGTTTAGATCATAATGGATATGTCTGTCCATGGCTTGCTGCTTTACTGGAGACGCTTAGGCAATTGTGTTTTACCTTCCTTAATTTGAATATAGAAGAAGTTCACAGAAAATGTGCTAATCATTCCAGAACTACTCACCTGTTCTGCACCAAGAAATCGACGATGTGAAGTGAGGTCCGATCAACTGATCTCACAGCAAGGTGAAGAGCAGTTTCATCTTGTTCCTAAAAATCAGACAATACATGCATTTGCATTTTCTGGCAAAAGGACGTTTTTGGAAACATTTCACTAGTTCTAAATGCTACGTTTATTGCTCTACCATGGTAAACAAGTATTAAGAATTGGAATGTAACTGACTTTGGGCGTAAGACTGTGTGGCGTCTGCTGATATAGACGATACAACTGAGGGCCAACAAAAAGCTAACAAAGAGATTGGATACCACTGAAAACATTTTTTAAAAGCTGTGTCTTGACTAGAGATGGGGACGAATTGCCATTTTGGTGATTTGTCCTGCTTCATGATCCATCGAAGTTCACAAAGCATGAAGCTCCCCCCATGAACCGACAAAGCACGAATTTATTTGTTGATTTGTGGGGGGTTAGACAGCCTGAGGCTGTCTAAAAAAAAATTGACACCCCCCGCCACCCCACCCCTTAAGGCAGGCTAAGGGAATCCAGGCTGCCCTTTGCAAAGATGGCAGTTGTAGCTTCCCTCCCCTAAATGAAGCCACAGCCACCATATTTGCAAAGGGCAGACAGTGTCCCTTACTGCAGGCTGTGGCTGTGCAGGCCACCACAGAGGGCGGCACTGGATCACAGCGGCGCTGGATGGTGGCAGTGACTAAGGTAAGGAAAGGAAGGGTGCGGGCAGACGGCTGTGGGAGTGGGTGGCTGCCTATTGGCCCACCGATCAGCTGATTGGCGGGCGCATAGGCAGAATGGGAAAGCCATAGGCTAGTCTTCCCTCTCTTCCTATGGGGGACAAATAAAAATGGGGAAATATTTGCCCCTTTGTATTCGTCGGGGTCTCTGGAACTGACGAATATGAAGGAACAAATATTTAACGAATCAGCAATTTCTAACAAATATTGCAATCTATTTTTTTTATTCGTCCCCATGTCTAGTCTTGACTAACTTTTGAAAGACCTGGAGGGAACCTCAGGTGGAAGTGAGTTCCATGAAGACAGTGATGCCACCAGGAAGGCTTGGTTCCTAACTGGCACCTTCCAGGCCTCCCTTGGTGTACACACTCATAGAAGCAAGGTCTGTGAGGAGTGGGTGATACAAGTGGCAGTTCTGTGAGGGAGATGTTCCAATGCGTTTTGAGATCCCAAACCATTTAGGACTTTGTATATCAACACCAGAATCTTGAATTTGGTACAGAAGCCCACAGGGAGTCATTGCAGGCAGATCAGGATTAGTGAGATGTAATCAAATTTCAGTACCCCTGAAAACTAACTGGGCTGCTGCATTTTGGACCTGTTAGAGCTTCCATAACATCTTCAAGGGCAGGCCCACACAGAGAGGACTGCAGTAATCACTTTTTGAGATTACCAATGCATGGACTAGTGTTGTTAGATAATTCCAAGGTACAGAAGAAAATACTACATCTCTTTTGAAGAATCAATCAATCATATCAAATTCATGGGGATTTAGGCTTGGGTAATTTAGATTAGTAGTAAATCAATAAGACTACAGAGTATGCTTCATTAATAACATTTTAACTATATTGGTAACTGTAGTTATCTAGGATGAATCATAAGCACAGAGATCCTCAGTAACACAGCAGTAGGCTGAATACATGCAGTGACATGAGAGGACTGTATGCATCAGTCAAAGAGATGGTTGCCAGCAGATTTTGAAACAGTGCCACAGAACTGTTGTTCTATAAAACTGCATAGTAAAAGTTATAAATATAATCCTTTTAGGCTATATTTAGACTCTATTTAGAATGTTAATATCCATCTCCAGTGCAAAATATTTCTGCACAATCGTGCTTTATTTTATATACTTTTAGTGACACAGTTAAAAAAAACACTATAACAGATAGCAGAAGTCTTAGTTTTGACCAAGGTCTTTCTCTGCTGAAGTACTTTAACTTATCATAATTACTAAGACAGTGACAGTGGATTATCTTTAAAGCATAACAAACTAGCTATGATCCTATTTCCACAAATGTAGCACCTTGAGTATATGTACCAATTAATAGAAAGCTATACACTTACATGCCCATTAGCTAGTGGGATTTTCTCTGTTAGGTCCACACCCTCGGCATATACTTGAACCAACCCAAAAATGTCTCTTGTTCTGACTGCTTCACATAGGCTTTGTAGTTTAGCTGCATTGTCAGTGCATTTTTTCCTTGCATATTTTTTTTCAATATATTTGGCATTAATATAATCTTTCCTTGCATTCCTGAAATGAGACATTAGTTGCTTTATGAATTGTTGACATAACTATTTCACATACACAGATCACAACATTTGTTATTATACTTGGCACAATACTAAAAATAAAAAAATGGCTCATGGAAACATGTTTCACTTACAATCATTATCTTCTTCTTAGCTTTTGTAGCCATAATTTATTATCTATAAATATTGCACTATACAGTACAAACAATAAACTGATTGGTTACACTAAGTACATAAACACGAGTCATTGGCCAAAATCCTGTTGTACAACTTAGGCATGCACAACTCAGGGTTGTGTCCATGGTAGTTGCACTAGCACCAAGGCAAAAGTGTAGTTCCTGAAACTATTTATTTGTCAGTTTGTTTCATCTTTACGCCACCCATTTGGCCAAAGGCCACTCTGGGCGACCAATGGCATAGAGCAATTCCTTGTTGGTGAGAGCAATGCCCAGAGCATTTACACAGGCGTAACTTTACATTACACCAACATGAATAAGATTATGTCCACTATTTTCTTTAATGTTCTTCAGGAAACTTTTAAATAGTCTGCAAATTAAATTAAAACGAACTCCAAATCATTGAACTGATCTGTTCCTTCAACTATTCAAGGGAAAACTTCTGCACGAATTTAAGATACTCTTTCATTATTTAGCTTGAGGTCAGTTGTTTACATTTGCTGTCATGTGTGATTTAACACAAGATCTGTTACAGATTAGAGGATAATGAGATCAAGTCCATTCCATTCAAAAGCCAGTTCTTCAGGCTTTCTTCTCCTTTTGTGTAAAAGACTAAAAAAAATATTTTAAAAAGCTGCTGAATAATTCTACATCTTTCTCTTTGCTATTGTCAGAAATATCTTACCTTGTTGTGTCACTTGATCGTTCAATCTATTCATTACATACAAATGTGCTAATTGCTATTAGATTGACATTTTATCAGAATTCAGATTTATATTGTTGTTTAGTTGTTAAGTCGTGTCTTTGTGATCCCATGGACCAGAGCACACCAGGCCCTCCTGTCTTCCACTGCCTCCCAAACTTTGGTCAAATTTATTTTTATAATCAAAATTATACTCAAATTCTTTTTCCAACTGATCATGGCAGCTTTTCCTATTATTTCCTCTTAAGGATATAAACTAATTTGGGTTTAGAAATGTGACACAAAAGGAGACAGCCAACAAGAATAGGCATTTCGGATCTAGAATCAGCCAAAGTCAAGGTTTCCAGTTGACCTGTTTTTGCTGCTCCCTTTTTCAAGATAATAATGGTAACGATAACAACAATGGCAAGAAGAAACTGCTCCATGTACTGCATTGTGCCCAGTTTTCTTTCTTTCTATTGCTCCTTTAAATTAATTGAAGAAATCTAATAAGAAAGCTTTAAGAGTCATGTAAAGGATGATGCTTTCAACCTGCTTTGTAAAAATAGCAATTTAAGTTTACTGTGTTTCCCCAAAAATAAGACAGGTTCTTATATTAATTTTTGCTCCAAAAATACATTAGGGCTTATTTTCATGGGATGTTTTATTTACAGTCATGTCATCGTCTGGTTGCTGCACAATGCCACACAATGGTGGAGGGTGGGGTTTCACTTAACTGGGGCTTATTTTCGGAGTAGGGCTTATATTTCGAGCATCCTGAAAAACCATACTAGGGCTTATTTCCAGGTTAGGTCTTATTTTCGGGAAAGCAGGGTAGTTTTGTCACTAACCAAGAAGATTTTCTATCTACATTAACTCTACATGACTTTAATTAATATGGTGGCTAAATGTCAACCAACAAAAGCACAGAATCTTCTAGGATTATGCTTACATAAAAGTTCTTAAGGCATAACATAAAACGGCATAACTGTATACCTTAAATCAGAATTACTGTCTCCTACACAGAAGAAAATTAAAGAAATGCTCTAGCCTTTATACACCCAATGCATTTAGCTTATAAACACGAATCACCTAAAGCCTTTTTAATTTTTGTTGTTGTTCTTCAGTTCTGTCCAGTTTTGAGAGCCTATTTTCTTATATGCTTCATCTCTAGTGAGGAACATTTAATTAGTGAGTCTATTAATAATAAATATTTATGTGGAACTCTTGAGAGATCTCAGAGTTTAAGATGTAACTTTTGTGTAAGCCTCACAACAGCAGATACTGTATATTATGAATGGAAGATTTGTATTGCAAATGGAAGAACAGGGGAAAGTAATTAGTCCAGGTTCATCTTGCAAGTCCATAACGACAACACTAGAACCGAGAACCATTCAACTCAATGCTGACAACCCAGAGTCCCTTGTAGCTAGGGCTAAGCAATGCATAGCCTGCACAGAACAAACCAAGCAATTTTTGTGGCCCTTGCCCCCCAAAAGATCTGCAACAGCAAAATTCAGTGGCAAACTACCAAGAACCCCTTAAAATAAGCAGACAAGGGCTGAAATCCTGCTGCATTCCTTAAATCACATAAGGCTGATGACATCATCAGTCACAGTAATTTTTTGGGGGGGAATTAAAAATCTCAGGTCCCAAGGCTCCTTTGGATCCCTTCCATTGTGGGGAAGTCGCTTTAGTTTCCAAAAATCACCACGGGCAGCTTTATATATATAAACAACCATCAGCGTTATGCAGCGTAATGTATACTGCTGGATTTCTTCTGATGTTGGCTTTCAAAGGATTCTAAGAGGTTCAGGAACAAACCACAAACATTCCTTTGAAACAAGAATGTCCTGCTTGTTTTAATGACTTTTCCTGGGCTGGGCTAAAATGGTGGTAGCTGGGGGATCTCCATATCAGGTTTTAGAGTGGCAAAGTTTCCCACATTTATACTACACAGTACCAGCTTTCCATAATTTCCATTTTTCATACTTACATATCACTGCTTGGATTGGGTTTGATTTGTTCATCTCCAGGCAGACAAAATTCCATGATTTCATTGAACCCTGCATTCCCAATATTCTTACCAAGCTATTAAGAAAAACATCAATAAAGTGAATGAATCCAGTCATTACTCATTTTCTGGGATGGAATTCATGCTGAAAATCTGATATAAAACTGAATGGATTTTGCATCTGTATTGTCCTACAAGGTACCCAAATGGATCTTAACAAAACAAGTTTTATTAAACTGAACTCCAATATCACAGCTACTGTTTACAGTGTGCAGGGCTAAATCCTATCATGATGGTCCTTCACCAAAATTAAGGGGAGCTGGCAGGTTAAAACAACACCTTCAGTCCCCTTGATATTAGTGGGACTAGTGTTAGATTTAGCCCATACGTGTAATACATTTCTCATGAACAGGGTAGCTTCTTTGACATAATATATGAGCTTCTTAATATTATACATTAAGTGAAGGAGGTAAAATTATGTCTCTGTAATTATAGTAATGGGAAAAGATACACTGACCAGATGCTAACAATGAAATCCTAACTGGCCAAGAACCAACAACAGACCAGCAGAAGCTGTTCTGAATCCAAGCTCCACCTAACCCAAGGATGCTTGAAACCTTGTCTTGGTCTAACCAGAAGCCTGCACAACACCTGCATCCCTAGGCTGCAAGTTTGGATTCATCTTGATTCAACTCGTCCCTTGCCCTGCTCATTTCCACCCACCTTCCAGCTGTTCTACCTAGGTTCTGTCAACAGATCTGAGATCAGCCAGTAGAAGAGAGTCCTGCTGGCAGCAAAACAGATTTTGGCGAGCAGAAGAGACTTGACCTAAATCCTAACACACTACAGCAGGCACATCATTTGAGCTGGAATTGGAATGCTTATGAATTACATAAACTTCCTTAGCTTACCAGCAATTCTGATGTTCCCAACACATCCAGAGTGAGTGATTGCATTCTGGAATAGTGGACACCAAGTTCTCGATGGATTCCAGAACATTCAATGCAGGTTAAAATGCCAAGATTTGTGGAGAGCCATGTGGGGTCTGGAAATGAAATAATGAAAAGATCTAGGTTACACAAGACACTGAAATAATAGAATTTCTACAAGGGACATCCAACTGATACACCAAATCAAACAGTGTGCCCATATAAAAAAATCTTCCTAAGGGCAATTCATAATTAAGTGCTCTATTTTATATACACATACAGAAACACATGGGGAAAGGCATAGATGTTTGGCAGTCTTATTTAAAGAAGTGTTCACACCTCGATCAGACTGAATTAACTGTACTCAGTTTGCAATGAAATCTTAGAATCAAGTGAAGTCATGGCTAACTTTTCACACTGATATCTATGGGACCCAAGAGTGCTTCACTTAGCTTAGATTCAAACCAATGCAAACAGAAAGAGACAAAAGAAATTAAGCCCATGAAATAGTTTAATGTAAATGGGCGTTTTCCTTAGTATGGTAACAAGATAATAGCCTGAACATTTTTTGATAGAAAACATAAAGCACAGTTTGATGAAGATGAGTTTAGTATAGCGTGCCTTGCTCATGCTGGATGTGATTGAAATTACTACCCAGAGGAAAAAAATATAGAGTTTGAATACAAGCAAAAAAAAAAAGTCATTATCATTATGGAATTTGCTTAGCTATAAAACATGAAAGGCAGCTGCAAAACAGTATTGCAATATAGAGCCTTCCTGTCCAATACTCCCTTCCAGCCATGCTCTTTTCCAGCTCATTCCCCCTCTTCCGTTTTCCATCACCCTCAAAAAATTAGTATTCTTTGGCCACCAAGAACTGTCACCTCACATCAATCTGTCTTTTTTAAAAAGAGGCTTCCCCATTTCTAACAGTTTTCCCCACTGCTGTAAGCCTGGAGATTCCCCCCAAGTATGCCACTACCTCTCTCTGAACATTTATGGCTGTGGTTCGGCCACACAATTACCCTATCTGAGCATCTGAGGTAACTTTCTGAGGGAGCAGCTACAGAAAGGTTTCTGATTTTTATGCAGTTCACATGACTTAGAAACCCTTAAATCCATCCCGGTTTTCCTCACCTTCTATTGATCAGGCTCCTACTTTCATCCCTTCACCCCAATGGGTTTTCTTTCTCTCTCTCTCTGTTTTATCTTTTCTCTCCTTCTCTACTCTTTCTCTTTCTTTCTTACTGGTCTTTCTCTTCTTAGTGCTTGTCTAGCCTCCTTCTCTATTCCTCCTCCACTCGTTGTCCTCCTTCACTCTTACAAGCACCAGCTCTCTTTCCCTCTCATTCTCTCTCTTAACTTGAAAGATTTCAGATGCTTTGCAGAAGGAACCAACAGTCGCAGCCAACATGTGCCACTGGTTCATGTTCTTGGAAGGATGCTAGAAAAACAGTTCCCAAACGTTCCTACATCATGCCCCCTTTTCAATTTTTGACAAAGTCTATATATCTCCTTTACTATTTATTATTCGGCCCCTTTAACAAAAAAACTCAATTTGCAGTATAATTAGAGACAGGCACTCAGTGAACTGGGCCTACAAGTGTTGTGCGGGTGCCCCAGGTTCTGTACCCCCGCGTCCGCCCACAGGCACCCATTCAGAGGAGGTGGTGGGGCAGGAAAGTCTGTGGTGCTGCTGCTCTCTATATATCTCCTTAACTATTTATTATTTGGCCCCTTTAACAAAAAAAACCTCAATTTGCAGTATAATTAGAGACAGGCACTCAGTGAACTGGGCTTACAAGTGTTGTGCGGATGCCCCAGGTTCTGTACCCCCCGCGTCCGCCCACAGTCACCCATTCAGAGGAGGTGATGGGGCAGGAAAGTCTGTGGTGCTGCTGCTGACAGGACACCCACAGGAGGAAGTGGGGCATGGAATCTGGGGCACCCACACAACACCTGTGAGCCCGATTCATCAAACCGCACTGAACCACGGTAAGTGCCCATTTCTAAATATAACATTAAAAACAAAAACTTAATTTAAAAGAGTTCAATGAAAAACAGGCAGAAACAGGTCTTTCTTCAGAAATCCTACATTGTAGTAACAATATCTATCACAGAGACCTGTTAAAATGATCAAATAATATTTTGTCTTTATGAAAATCTGAATCTCACACTCTGCTTGCTATTTCTTCGTACAATCCTTGGGGTTCTTGTCTCTCTGTTTAGGATCAATACTCTTAAGCCAGAAGTTTGTAACCTTGGGTCCCCAGGATTTCTGGGAGCTGTTGTCTATGGAACATTTGGGTCTCAAGGTTGGGAACCAGTGCTCTAAGCAAATGAATATACCAAGCCCAACTTTAGCTTTCTGTGTCTTAAGGGAGTCTTGACACAGAGGGACTGAAGGCAGTACTGCAGGCAACAGATTTACAATGAAATCTGCATAATTAAAAGTCCATTAATCCGTTAAAGAAGGGGGGTTTCCTTACTATGCATGCCAAGTTTCAAGTGTCTAGGCTTCATGGTCCAGAAGCTAAAGCAAATTTTTCTTTATTAGTACATATTAGCTTACGTGCTATAGCTTTATCCATGTTTATAATTTGTTAGCTGTTAGGGAAAGGACAAAACTACTGTACTTCAACATGTTAAGCTCACCTTGTGCTCCACAATCACAACACACATCATTACCAGGCATCCTCTGTATATCAGATATAATTTCTTTGGTCAGCTCTTGGACAATGTTGTTTTCTCCAGTGTTGTCATCACCTTTGAAGGCATTATTTAAAGCTTCTTCTTTACTATTCTGTAGCACTGATATCCAACTTGAAAAACAGAAGCAAAAACATGTATTTTTAAAATTGTATTGGCAATTAAGCTTCTATCCTTCAGAACTAAGTTTGAACAAAATCAAGCAAAGCTTATAATGTTGAGAGTTGGGCCTGCATCAAATCTCTGAGTGGAGAAAAATGGTTGACAAATCAACACCTCAGGTTGCCACATGAAATGACTATTAATGAAGAGGGCTAAAGAAACAGAGAGAATATCCTGAGAAGAGTCTGGGAACCTCTCACTTGGAATAAAGAATTGTGGGGTATTCTTTTCTCAAATGCCTCCCACCGACCAAAAACAAGGTGTGACGTTTTGGAGAATTTTCAGTGGAAAGGAAGCTAATCTCTGATCAGATTGAGTTAAAATGTTCAAAGCAGGTTTTCTGGGTTGTTTCTGTACACATTTTAGTGACTGTTGAATTAAAAATAACTTTACCAAATATTCAAGATTTCTGGAAAGTTGAGTATCCTCTATTTTGGGGGGGGGGTTAGATTTTTATTCTACATATCTACGGATTCTCTTGAAACATCCCCCAGTATTTAAAACTTGGGTATTTGCTTCCTAAACATTTATTTCACAGTATACAGCTGATTACAGAAAATTTATTATTACTAGTTTGTCTCCAAGATGGTTACAACAGAGGAGCAAGTCTCTCTTCAAATACAAGCAGTTATTATTTTTTTCTACTATAGACCTCTTTATGAAGGGCAAGTGAAACAGTAAAGATAACAAAATATTAACACAACTTACATCTGACAGTCTTGTTCATCCTCTGCTTGGAAATGATATGTTCTGTCATCTATAAAATGATAGAATATATTAGGGGTTGTTCCAAATAGACATGTTCAGTTCATCAGAATATTTATGCATGTCAGTAACTTGAACATCAAATACTTTATCTTGTTACTAGAATAAGGTAATCAAGATTAAAATCATCCATGTGTAGTAGCAGGGTCAAAATGGTTCACAAGTACTTTGGGTCTAATGAAGTGGAAACCATTTCATAAAACCTTTGCCAAATAAAAATTGACAGCTTTTAAGGCGCTACAACACTCTACATTCTTATACTCTACTACAGTCTTACATACAAGACCAAATATCATTTGCAGTAAGATTAAAGCAAATGCTTTCTTTTGTGATTCATTCAGAACTACTCCACAAACATAGACGGTAATAGGAATGTTGTAATGACATCATCAGTAAATGTGGGTGGTACAACTATTTCCCTCCCTCTCTTACATCTGGAACATACATGTTCTTTGTTAAATGTGCAAGCGTTTTTAAAATAACTGCTCAGTTATTCTTAAAATACTTGTAATAATGACAGGTACGACAGTAGGCTTTCCTGGAAGCACCTGACTGACCACTGTTGGAAACAGGATACCGAGCTATAGAAATCTTTGGTCGTATCCAGCAAGGTTATTTTTACATTCTTACACCATGAATTCCTCCTGGCTCACTTCCAGTACAGTGCTTCCTGCAATGCTTGGCTGGATCAGTGCAGGACATCCCAGCACTCCACCTCCCCACCATGCATGGTCCCCAACAGCTCATTACCCTGATATACACTCTTCGGTCCCAGATAACCTTTAGCTTTTGAAAGCTCTTCTGTACTTCTTTGGGACATAGCAGTGTCCCTCTTCATTCTTCCCTCTGCTATTCAAACTTGATTTTCTTTGTCTCTTAACTTCTACAATGATATTTCTATTCAAACATTGACAAGCCAATATTTAGGTAACAAATACTTCAAGAAGGTTCTATAAGAAGCCTGTATCATTTTAAATGGGAAGTTAAAACATTTTTCTAGTGTCATTATCACATTTAAGTAGATCTTCCACAGTTAAAAATGAGATTTCTGAAAGGTGTCACAAGATACATGTGTATCCTATAGATACATCTCAGAGAATTATATCTCAGCCTGTATCAATTGTTTTCTGCTGAAGATGACGTATAAGCAGAGTTCCAATATACAGGGATTGGAGATATGACAGAGCTCTGTATTGGGATATCTGCCAGCAAAGGGTGGCTACATATTCCCTTTTCTCCAGAAGCCTGGGGTTCATGCAGTGGGCTAGCGCTGCATTTGCCATGGGTCAGAACAGAGATCTGATCCATAAATTACCTGAGCAGCATGGAAACCACTGCCCTGTGTTACGCGTATCACACTAGTCACACTTAAAAGATAAATGTTCACACATGCAAGCCAATGGATGTGAACAGTTTTCTTCCAAACGTTGCCTTGGCAGTGAAAAAATCTAGAGAACTCACACTGGCAGCAGAGTTATGTCTGTGATTTACAGCAACTGGAATGTTTCCTGTTATAAAGGAAAAAGATTGTAGCATCCCAAGGTCTTGTTATATCAATCTATATAAGGAGAGAGTACCCATCACAGATCCTACCCCTCCGGCAACTCCTTGAAAACTAGTTTTAGAAGACTTGAGGAGTAGCAAGAGGAGCACTACAGGAGGATTGGAGATGGGGGGTAAACACCAGGAACCTTCCACCTATAAGTGGGAGCTTTACTTCAGGTAAAGTCCCCATTATGAACCATCTAATTTGGCAGAGGGAAACATAAGAATGTTGAAATGTAAAAAAATATGTCAAGGAAATATGAAAGGAGGTATAAAGAGTACAAAACATGTTCAGAACATAGGAATGAAATAAGACAGGTGGCAGCAGCACAATTTCCTGACCAAACAAGTGGCAGGAATCCCTTCCTAGCAGTCACTTAAGACAGAAGGATATGTCTATGAAGATTCTCAGTCATCCAGATGTGGTTATCTGGAAGTTGAGTCATGGCAACTGGATTTCTTTCTTGTCAGGTTGAAACATTTCACTACTCATCAAAGCATCTTCCTTGGTCTGAGGAGAGTTGGTAGAATATCCCTGATATATCCTCCCCATTGGTTTCACTTCCCTCTGGTCTGAATAGGCTCATTAGATGGACAAAGGATCGGTGGTGAGTGAAAATGCCACTTCTGCAGTCCTTCTCCACCCATTGTCATGGATCCTTAACAGCTGTTAACTGTGGTCTTTCTGGTGGGTGTGGACCTGCTCTTTGTGGGGATGGATGAAAGGGCAACATGATACAGTGGTGCCTCACTTGACAAGGATAATTCGTTCCGTTGAAATCACTGTTAAGCAAAATCCTCGTCAAGCAAAACGAAAAAGCCCATTGAAATGCACTGAAACCGGTTCAATGCGTTCCAACGAGCTAAATACCTCAGCGTCCAGTGAAGATCCTCCATAGGGGCGGCCATTTTTTGTGCCTGTAAAGCGAGGAATCCGTCCTGAAAACACAGTGGGGAGCCATTTTGCACAGCGGGCGGCCATTTTAGAACCACCAATGAGCTGTTTCTAAATTGTCATTTAGCGAAAAATCGGTTCCCGAAGCAGGGAACTGATCATCGTTAAGTGAATTTTTACCATTAAAACATTGTTTTGCAATCGCAAAAGCGATTGCAAAAACTTCATCGTCAAGTGGTTTCGTCGTTTAATGAGGTAATCGTTAAGCGAGGCACCACTGTAAATAAGAGACATATTGTATCTAAGGCCTCCACACCCCTGTTGAATGAGGTATTTTCTATATGTTCATGTATGGCCTCCCTGACTCCTCTCTCAAACCACCTATCTTCTCTGTCCAAAATCTTTAAGGCCTAACACAGTGGTTCTTAACAGTGATTCTTAACCTTGGGTTACACAGGTGTTTTTGGACGGCAACTCCCAGAAGCCTCCCCCACCAGCTGTGCTGGCTGGGGTTTCTGGGAGTCGCAGTTCAAAAACACTTGAGTAACCCAAGGTTAAGAACCACTGGCCTAACACAACGGAAAGAACACTGTTAACGACTCATAACAATGGGTGGAGAAGAACTGCAGAAGTGGAATTATCCCTCACCCCAAGTCCTTTGTCCTTCTAACAAGCCTATTCAGACCAGGGGAAAATGAAATGAATTTGGAGAATGTATCGGGGTCTCCTACCAACTCTCCTCAGAAAAAGCTACTTGGAAGAGCAGCCAAATGTTTCAAGCTGACAAGAAAGAAGTCCAGTTGCCCTGACACAACTTACAGATCAGAAGGATAAAGGATGATGGAAGGACGACAACAGCAAACATTTATTTTGGACTTCACCATGTTCAAGAAAGGATGTTAAGACAAAAAGGGTGACCACTTTAACCTGAATCACAAAATGCAAAATCCTGTGAGGAGCAGCTGCATGGTAAAGAGAAAGGATCAGAGCATGTATTTAATTCATAGACAGATCTGAGGGATTAGCAAGAAGGTAGAGGACAATAAAAAGAGATTACTTACCTGTAACCATAGTTCTTTGAGTGGTCCTCTGTGAATTCACACATATGGGTATTGTCTGCGCCTGCACTGACTCTCTCGGAAGATTCTAGAGCTAAAAGTAACAATTTTATGGTGTGATCCTCCACTAGGTATATGCTCCTCCCACCCACCATCTTCCCCAGTTCCTTAATTTTATCCGCAGGGTTTCAAGGAAAAAATTAATTAAATAATTACATAGTTAACCCGTGATGGATAGAAGGGAAGGATGGGCGAGTTGTGTGAATTCACAGAGGACCACTCAAAGAACTATGGTTACAGGTAAGTAACCTCTTTTTCTTTTTC